TACTAATTATAAAAAAGATGAAAATATACTAAAAAATTTAGTAAATTCTTATATATCAACTACAGATCCTAGCAAAAAAATTAAATTAATCATATACTACACTAAATCTAGTATATCCAACTTAATACTTCGCAATGATTCTTCTCCCCCGGTTAGCGATTTGCAAAAAACCAACATAGTTTATAAATTCAAGTGCCCTTTGGGAGATTGTATCACCAACGAATTAAATAATATTTATGTTGGTCACACCACAAACTCGCTTTCACGACGCTTGACACTACATTTTAATGAAAACTCTAACATTTTTAGGCATTTAAAACAACATGCCTGCCCGCACACACAATTCCGTAAAATACTTGTCGAAAACACAACTATACTTCGACATAAAAACAATAGACAAAAATTAAAAATACTTGAAGCATTATACATCAAACAGTTAAAACCCAACCTAAACAAAATCAATTATGGCATCTCTACAAATATTCTTAAATGTCTATAATTGGTAACAGAAGCCATTGGTTTATACCAATGGCTTTCCATACTTCATTCTCCAATTCACTCTCGTGGTCATGTGTGACGTCATGAGATGCGGTGCGATTTTCGCTTCTAGCGTCTTATATGCGCGTGTTTATCGTTGCTTAGAGATTATCTATGTAAACAATGACAGACTATCATCACTGTCGTGTCCGTATCCGTATATTGTTTAATATGTTTGTACTTTACATCTTTGATAATGGCTTAAGTAAGCCGAAAGCTTAGATTATATTAAAAAAAATATGGATCAATATTGTGAATTTCTTTTCTTCGTTTAATGAAAATGTTATCAAACTTATCAGATGTTAATAAAAATTTATATAAAATAAATAGACAACACTTGTCTATATTATTTAATGAAACGTATATATATATATATATATATATATATATATATATATATATATATATATTCCATTATATTATTGCTAACATTTTTAGATAAATATGTACTCTCTGGAACGAAATAAACGTCTTTCCTGTTTGTTGATTTTGGGATTTCCCACCACCACCAACACCGAAATTTACTGGGACCTACTTATTGTCAACCATTCATTGTCATCCGACTTAATAATTTGCCGGACAATTTTTGTTTGTAAGGTCAATGTGATGGCAATCCACTGCATTGCAATCTTTCTTTTAGTGTAATATGTTATGTGTTGGATGTATTTAAAATCTAATCTCTACAAACACAACATTAAAAATATGATAACGACAATTTCTACGTGCATCAAAAGAAATGTCTTGTTTGAATGAAACGTAAGAAGTGCGACAACTATGCAAACGAGGCAAAGTAGAGAAGATAAATGCATTAACGCATATCCCAATAATTTCATTTTTCAACCAGTCCATTTATTGAAATAATTAGGGAGTTTTCAATAAATTGTCTAATCGATTATTTCGTTTGTTCAGCCCATAACCCGTTTACTAATTCCCTTGTTTATTAAATATACTAGTTTTCCCGCTCATTTATGACAACCCACCTACTTCCCACACCCGAGAGAAATGGGTAAGTTTGCGCTTTTTTTCCTTTTTTGTAATCATTTCCCGCCAAGTAAGGCGGGGATGCCACTAGTACGTAGGGGTTACCGGGAGTGAAAGTGAGAGAAAAGACTTAGAATAAGGATGATTGAGAAAATGACAAAATATGAACGGAATTCAAGAAGATAGAAGCTGCGATTGACGATTCATTTAAATCTTTGAAGATTGTATTTATCAGGAAAGCAAGTAAATTGGAGGGAGTTCCATAAGCAGGAAGTGCGAGAAAATAAACTTTTGGAGTAAAAGTGGCGGTAGCATTTAGCTATTTCGACGGTAAACGAATGGGACCAGGATGTTAATCTAGTGGAACATTTAAATGCACGCAGTCGGGACACCATGAAAATATCTGTAGAAAAGACAGTGAAGCAACGTCACCTCGGTGAGAAAGTGACTGAAGTCGAGATTTTAAGCTTGCATCGTTTAATTAATTTATGTGTGTGTATACTTTTATTTTTCTTTCTCTCTTGCTCAAATTTCGTTTGTTCTCAAATTTGAACAGACAGACAATCGGGCTTAAAATTTTTTTGAGGTTTTCATCCCACTAACAGACCCAGGATGCTCATAACATAATCCGAAAAAGAAAAGCTTTTATTTAAAAATACAAAAAAAAAAGACTGTCATTTTCCCCCCCGGTCAGCCATGTTGTGAGAGTTTCAATATAGACAGACGCGAGCAAATAGCTATGTATTTGGTAAGCATCTGTCCGATTCGTCCTCTCTGCTTGTGCTCTGTGCGTGGTCTTCCGTTTCTAACCCTCTCATCGAACGGCTGCGTTGTGAACCAATGCTCAATATAACGGTCGGCCAACTTGTGGGTGTTTGCAGCAATCTCTTCGTTTCGCTGATTATCGATTTCATGCTTGGAATAATAAGGTTTCCGCCGGAGTTTCAGTTCGATTGATTGTTTTATGTTTGAGTCATTTGCTTCCTCTGCAGGATTAGTCTGGTAGGAAGAGCCGACTCGCACGCACACGCACTCGCGCACACCCGTCGCGCATACGCGTCGCGCACGCTCGCACACACAAACACAAAACAATACCAGCACGCTTTCGCACACATGTGTCCACACACGCTCATACACAGGAACATATACATTCAGACATATATACACACAAGAAGGTATACAATGGAATATTCAAACACATAAATTTCCACAGATATACTTAGTGATACACACAAACTAATACGCACATCCACATACACTCTTGTATATTCATACACATACATAAGGGCATATAATGTAATAACACATAATGTAATGATTAGCAAGCTTGTCTCGTTAGATCAATTACAAATGAGTAGTGAGCTCGATCCTCACTGGGTGCTCCATACTTTCTAATTTGTGCCACAACTAAGCTACGTTTATTAAATCACCATACACACATATAAACACGAAAATACGTTGTCTGTCCGGAAAGTATTCAGCCATTTTGAATATTATCTCTAATATCGTTTGTGTGACTTTAAGGAAACTGAAAATCAATTAGAGGACACTTTGCTACTCAGGGTTGAACAGGCACATTCCTCTCTAATAATGCAATCGACGATGACACACCAGTGAATGATTTTGCATACTGTGCCACCATCGTATTCACAATGGCCTGCCGAGTAGATTGTTTACATATTGTGCATTTTGTTTTTATTATTTATTTGCAAAACATCGCATCACTAAAAATATGTCAGTTTCCGTAATCTTTCATCTTTGGCTCCCTGTGATATCTGGATGTTTTCCATATATAAAATTGCAGTTGAAACGTCAGGTAAGTTATTAAGGAGAACGTAACGAGGCAGCTGATGGAGATCCCGAAACTAGATTTTACACAGTTTTGAAAATGGAAAGGTACATATAAATGTTTGACGTTTCAAGGCGGGGAATATATTTTTTTTTATGCGGAAGACGTGAGATTTCCTTGTTTCTTTTATTGTTGCTCCCGTTATTGTTGTTGTTTCTTTCTTCTTTTTTTTTTGTTCTATTTTTTTCTGTGGAGGGGTAACTTATATTAAATAGCTGGATACTTTTCTGTCAGATCTTGCAGTTTATACACTTAGGTACGTGTGTAGACACATTCACCAACTGTGGCTTTTGCATTGATAGTAATAAACGGAAAATAAAGGGTTTTTTTTTCTCAACAATAGGTCAACATCTTTATGTAAGTCTTTGTGTATCGCATTCATTCTAATTTTGTTAATTTTTTCCCATATATACCACTTTTCTAAGCAGGCAGATACGTTATATTCACCTACCTATTCGGATTCGCCGGCGCGCTGCCGCACAAAAGTTGTCAAAGTGCAATTTACTCTTCTCTACTTTTCTCACGATTTTTGTAACCCCTCTTCCCCCACTCTCTCTCTCCCCTCCATCCTATCCTATCTCCTCTCTCTCTCTCTCTATCTATCTCTCTCTATATATATATATATATATATATATGATAAAAAATATACATATATGCACATATATTTGCACGTACGTATAAATACATTTCTTCCTCAGGTGTTATAAATACAGTGATCAATGTGATGTAACAGAGTATATATTAGTGACTATACATAACATCTAACGTCGACAACACGACTCGGAGTTTCATGCAGTTTTGCAATCTTCAGGTACTGTGTCGTTTATCGATATTCACTAATATATATATATACGTATATATATATATTATATATATATATATATATATATATATATATATATATATATATATATATATATATATATATATGTGTGTGTGTGGTGTGTGCTTATATAAACTATGACCGACGGTCACAAAATCACATTGAAAGTGCTCTATATAAACTCTGACCGACGGTCACAAAATCACATCCATTCAACTAATATATATATATATATATATATATATATATGTGTGTGTGGTGTTTATTGAAAAACTCTCTGTGCTCTATATAATATATAATATATATATATATATATATATATATATATATATATATATGTGTGTGTGTGTGTTTATTGAAAGTGCTCTGACCGATTTGGTCACAAAATCACATCCATTCAACTAATATATATATATATATATATATATAGTGTGTTTTTAGCAACCGTTTACTGTCTTTCGCTTTCGTTTTTCTATCGTCATTGATTTTGTGGAGTTGAGGCATATCTAATCAGCAACGGGAGTCGGTGTTCGAATCCAGGTAGATTCATAGTAGTAATTTTGAAAGCACACTAGTTGTACCTGTTTGACAGTTACTTCTAATCAACTTTTCTCCCTGTGCCAGACTAACATAAATTTATATTCCCCAATGTTGTACATACGTGGACATGAACAGATAAAAAGCGACATCGCTTTAGCTTTTTCTCTCTCTGCCTTTTGATCGCCTTCTTTTACCTTGACTTTTCTCACTTCTCCATTTCACTCTTTTGATCTCACCCATTCCTCATATTTTCATGCTTCTCACGTTCAGTTTTATCTCTTCCTTTTTCGGTCACCTTTTTTCTTTTTTCTCTCTTTTCTTTTTGCTTTCTTCCATTCACCTATTTTCTTGCTTCTCCCTTTCTATTTTTTTTTCTCTTCTCTCGCTGCCATTTTTTTTTTTTTACTTTTCCGGTTTTTACCTGCGCTAATTTTTCTTTTTTTTTTCTTCCTTCTCCTTTTTTGCTTTTTCTTTCCATTCTCTATTCCTTATTTCTTGATACTCGCTTTCTTTTACGCTTTTTGATATCCTCTTCTTCCCCAACTTTTCTTCCTTTTTTTTATCTTTCCCGCTTTCGATCACCTCTTCTATATTTTTCTTTCTCCTTCATTTTTCATAATTACTCCATACTTGCCAATTTCCTTCTATCATTTTGTTGTCTTTCTTTCTTCCACTTTCTCTCCTGTCTTTTACTATTTCTCTCCCTCTTTTATCCTTTTATTAACTCTATTTCTTCATTGTTTCCTTCTCTATCCATTTCAGTTTTCTTTCTCACTCTTTTCTTTATCCCCACCTTTTCTATGACTTATCTCCCTTCTTTATTACGCCTCTATTGTTTTTCTTATATTCCGCCATCTTACTAATCGCTTTTTATTTTTCTATTTCTTCCCGCGCAGTTTCTTCTGAAAATCTTCTTTTTTTTTCTTTTTTCTCGCGCAGGCATATTTCTGTTCTTACATAAAAAGACAAGATGTACCAAACCATAAGAAGCTTTGTTTCTCTGATATGTCTTTTTCTCTTGGTTTTTTCGCTCTTCTCTCTTTGTCTCGAAAAATGCCTGCCTCCTTGTGTCTACTTGTCCAGACTCTAGGGACATTAAATACATACTCGACTGTAAAAGGGAACGAGTGGGTCAGTTGCGTTGAAAAAGATATATCCTCAAAAGAAATAACTTTCCTCTCAGTAAATTTATGCATAAAAGCCTTGCTAAGATTTTTCAGGAGAAATGGACTTATGCAGAAATACGCCTCCTTCTTTGTGTCTACCTAAATCTATAGAACAATCTGTTATTTTTTATCAAAATAAATTACGCACATATATGCACATTAGTATGTATGCAGCATACCAAGGCGCGCGCGCGCACACACACACATATATATAGTCACAGAGTACTGGATAGCGGTTCGGATTAAGGAATCGGAGAGCCGAGTTCGAATTCCACTCGAATCAATTACGTGCTAAGAGAGGTACTAATTCTCAGCTATGAGGGAGAAGATATATGAAAACTGGTCTAAGAGAAGGACAACTCTGAATTGAAAACCTGCGGGGGGTTGTTTGGGGAACTTGGTGCACGTAGTGCACTGGGTCTCTGTATTTGGCCCTTCAAAAAGTGTGGTTGGTTCTGTACAAAGCCTTCGCCACTATAATGAAATCATATTTACTCGTATCAGTTCCTAGGAATACGATGGGAGAATCCATCATATATATAACAAATTTATAAACTGAGAAATATATGTAAATTACTGCGAGTAGACTTTTGTAAAGGAAGTTCTCAATATAAAAAAATAGATGAAAAAATGATTAAAAGCTCAAAACACTTGTCTTTGGAAACAATTTTAAGTTCCGATCATACACTGCTTATCAGACTCAGATATATGAATAGATATATGCGTAAATTCTCGTTTGTTTATGAGATCTGTCTGGAAGATATCTAGCGATATAATATCAACGAAAAATAACTATCCTGGGTAAATGATGCGTTAGGACCATCAAATAATTATCGTTTTTGGGACCTCAAGATTACATCTTATCATGCTTCCAATTTAAAAAAAAAAACTCTGTAAAGACCACTATCGGAATTACCACCAATGACTTTGGTGCGTACTTCTTAGTCCCGTCCATGACGTTTCCACAGCAATTTTAGGTTTGTAAAAAGGCAGATTTATCATAGATTCTAACATATAATGGGTGGCAGAGATAGTGAGTAATGCTATTTTTCCACACACACACACACACACATATATATATATATATATATATATATATATATATATGAAAGCTGACCAGAGCACACTACCGCTGTTTCGACCTCTATGGTATCCTCAAGTGGTTTATTCAGCAAATCAACTACACAGAGCTCAACAACTTAAGCACTTTCGAAACTGGAAGTAGTGGTGGTGGTGGGGGGGATTTCTAACTTTAACCGGGTTCAATAACCCCAAGCTGAACTTCTTAAAATGTCTGCAATTAGTCATGATTTCTGACCTCTCGTTAAGGAATTCATTACTGTTTCTATATGTTGCGATAGCCAGTTTCTCTTCTTGGCATAGCCTACACGTATAGTTCAAATGTTTCAGGAATAACCGTTACTATTAGTTAAAAACTGCACATTTCAGAGGAAATGTTATATGTTAAGTCATCGTCGAGTTCTTCATTTTCATTTGGTCAATGAAACAATGACAGGTAAGATGATATGTGTCGGTATGATACCGATCGTATTAGGCTAAGGTTTTTTTGGTGGGGGGTTACACTGATGTTCATCCTATAAAAGGCCTGGGGGCCACTCGAGGTAGACTGTGATATAGTAAAAAGCACATCTTATGCGGATATGTATGGAAGAAAACGGTTAACCTGAGACTTGAACAGGTTAAGATTATAGTGACCAGGGAAGTATTCTATTGGGTCTCTTGGGTTCCACAAGATAGTGGTTCATGGAAAGAAGTTGCTTTACGGTCATATTGAAGAATAACTTATACGGAAGTAATCTTGTTTTCTGTAATATCAACCACTGCAAGTGAGTTTTGTGGGGTTTCAAGTTTTCACAGACGATCGCTCTCACTGAATCAGTCCGTAAACTCAAGACGGAGAAAAGCGAACAGGGCCAAATTTAGTCATCACTTTTGCTTCTGTACTCACTTCAGAAAACCTTATGGGTTTAGAGCGGGTCTTAACAGTCACTGGCGGGCCTGTCACAGACAAGTAAACCACAATATTTCCTGAAACTCTGTTCGTTCGCAATGTTATTCATCAACGTGACAGTCTCATTTTCAGTTCTCATTACAATTTTAGGTAGATGTAGGTTTTATGCATGAATATGGATGTGCGTGCCGTGTAATGGATTAAGAGTTCGAATTTCAACTGAATTCTGTACATTCAGTTACAAGCAAATGCCATGAGGAAAAGCATGAATTCGTTTATTCTCCTTCTGTTACGGTTTAAAAGGCAGAACAGACTCCTATAGCCTCACTTTGCAATCTTTTTAAATATGGAGACTCGATAAAATCAACCATCTTTCAGTAAGCCTAAGCCATCAGTGGAGATTCATCAACCAATGAAAACAAGATGATTGAAATTATTCAGTCGGGTGACTTGCGCATTCTGGCGGAGGCAGAGAAATTTCACTATTTTATGCATGAAGATGCGATTTCCGTTGTAAGTGGGTGTGCATGTTGATGTATCCCCGATTGAGAAAGGCATTGTTTTTTTTTTCTCTTTTTCTCTCTCTTTCTCTCTTCGTTTCTTTCTTTCTATTGAAATAGATAGATTTAGGCCTGGTCGTAGTCGGCACCCGTTCACATTCAAGAATCTGGGTCGTTATCCTCTTTCCTTATTCCCTCTCTCCCCTCAGGTGGCGGTGACTGAGATGACTGTGAAGGCACAGCCTACTACTGAAGAGTCGTGAGTAGGAGTTACAGAGGAGCGCGTGTGATAGACGCGGCTGGGTGAGTTGGTACGCCTGACAAAATATAGCAGGTTTTCTTTATGTTGACGGTCGGACTTCAAAGTCTCGGTCACCCTTCGGATGGCAGATTTTCAGCAACGTTTTCCAAGGTCTCGGCGCCGTTCTAGGCCTCCGTGTAGCCTCTTGCCTCTGGCGAGTTCTCCAAACAGGATGACACGTGGATTTAAGCCTAAATAACAAGAGATCATTCATTATAACTCAATTTAAAATTAATCTTGTTAAGACTTGTGTAGATCAAAATCAATAGATTATTTATTTATTAGAGATTTTCTAAGTTTATTATAATTTAAGGTAAACTAGTTGAACAATCATCTTGAAAGAAAGAAAGCGTGACAATCTCGCAAGCGAAAAGGTTCTGCAGACTTTACATTTCAATTATGGTCTTGGCTCGAACGCAGACCATTAGTGTCAGTGACTTAAAGGAGACGTGTTTCATTAAGTAGAACAAAATTTAATACATATTTAATTTTTGGTATATTAAACTGTTATGATGTTGATTTGGGGTTAGTAGGGACAAACGCGAAATAACAGGTAACAATAAAAAAGGGTTTTAATAGGTTGGTAAAAAGGTACAGAAATCGCCTGAGTAGTCAATAACTAGCTCAGCTAAGAACTTCTCTGTCTATCTGTCTTCCCCCCATGTCAACTGACATGCCACTATTTAAAGTCTTTATTCACAGACGCAGACAAGTTCATCTCAAGAGGGGTGGTAGGTTTCCGACACAACATAAACAAACCTTAGCAAAGACTTTTTCCACCTCCACATCACTGCCCGCTAAGTGAAAATTGGTTTACCCTTAAACGGCGGGCATCATAAATTGATATCTCATTGGATATCAGCGGGTATTATCAATTAATGGTTTTATCAGCGACCCGGGTATCATTCATTACTGATTCGAAAATAATCAGTACTAATAGTACTAATCAGCAAGTCTAGGTTTCATAAAGCTGCTAATTACTGTTTCCCGAGTTTACGTATTTTCCTGGAGTATTTGCTTGCAATTAAAATTTGGTGAACAACCCAAGGACTGTGTTTTGTCTGCATACATAATTCATGAAGAGAAAAAAGGCGACAAATGATGGCTACTTGGGGCAAAGAAGAGTGTCGTACTGTTAAATATATTAAATTTAGGACCCTAAAATGTTTTATTTTCCCTTTCCTTTAATTTTATAATCTAAAAGAGTTACAATATCGTTTCCATTGATTTAATATATATATATTTGCTGGTGGCGCCTGGGGTGGCGGTCCCGCTATAGCCACCGAAACCGTGAGATCACCACTGGTCGGCGGCTGATGAAGACAGGGTATCGCACGTGCTAACACACGTTGTATGTTAAAAATATATACATATAATATATATATATATATATATATAATTAAAACCGACGTGAACTGTTTTAGAATTTTTTCCTGTCATTAAGTGTTAATATATTTTATAAATTGATAAATCATTTTGACATTAAACTAAACAATTATCAAAATAGGTTTTCCTTCGCTTATTAAAGTAAAATATCCAGATAATTTGATTCCACGTGTTGCACAGAATGGAACCGTATAGGAAATTCTTAAACTCATAAATGTTAAAATCTGTTGTTAAATCAAAATATCTGGTTCTGGTGGTGCTGCTGTACATCTCGATATTCTTGACAAAATCCAAAGTTTGTAATGTCATCGAATCTCACTAGGTATCCCGACTTTAGTCACTTTCTTACCGACGTGACGTGGCTTACGTCTGTTGTTCCTACAAATATTTCCATGTCCCATTTTCTGATGAGCTTTTTTTGCTGGTGCCCCGATTGCATTAATTTAAGTGTGCTATTAGATTGTAAAATTAGGTCTCACTATTTTACTCTTGAACTAGCTAGATGCCACCACAACTTTTGCTGTAACAGTTTCTTTTC